TGGCCTCCCAAAGTGCTGGGATTACAGGCGTGAGCCACCGCGCCCGGCCCATAGCTGCAATGTTGACAGTAGATTCCTGGTGCTGGGTGCAGGGTGTTATCTATATAGTTCCTTCCATTTTGCTGTATGATTGAAATTTTTCCGAATAAAATGTTGAAAAGGAGAAGGCCACCTTAGGATTCTGACCCTTCCTAGTGTGTTCCCTGGCTGAAGAGAAGTTGATGACTAGTGTCACCCAGCCTAAGAGGGAATAGAGACCTCTTTCCAAGGTCAAGGCCGGACTCTGGCCAGACGTGGTGGCTCACGCATGTAATACCAGCACTTTGGGAGGCCGAGGCAGGCGGATCACTTGAGGTTGGGAGTTCGAGACCAGCCTGGCCAGCATGGCGAAACCCCATCTCTACTAAAAATACAAAAATTAGCCAGCTGTCATGATGTATGCCTGTAATCCCAGCTACTCAGGAGGCTGAAGCAGGAGAATCCCTTGAGCCTGGGAGGCGAAGGTCGCAGTGAGCTGAGATCATACCAATGCACTCAATCTGGGCGACAAAACAAGACTCTGTCTCAATTTTTGAAAAAGGGCTGGACTCCATCTCCTCCAATCTGGGCCTTAGTTTCAACAAGGTGGTCTCCCAGCGATCTCTTGAGGACAAGCTAGGAACTGTTTCTGTTCCATCTCTCCGAGGTCTGGCCTCAGGGGACATCTAAAAGGGCTGTCCTGAGATGCTGGGACATGAGGATGCTCTCGCTAAGTTGCTGTGGCCTGGACTCACCTGGAAAAAGGTGTTGCTTTCTTTGCCATTGGCTGTAAAGGTCATTAAGCCAGTGGCCAAGTCCACCAGGCAGCCAATGACAAGGTCCGTGTGGCTGACCCGGCCCTGCTGCCCGGGACTCACAAAGTCCCCGCCCCACACCATGTAGCAGTTGCTGCACTTGAGGCTGCAGGAGACAGAAGCGGTCACTGCACTTGTCATCTGAGCAGCTCTGGACCCTGGACACCCCCCCCCCAAGCTCCTGGAAACACATGACCTCAGAGTCCCATCCCCAAATGTCTACCCCCTGCAGACCTGAGCACTGAAGCCCCCTGGACCCTGAGCTCCTAGGAGCTGGTGTGGGGAAGAGTTGGGGGCGGCGAGGGAGGGGGGGGATCCTGGAAGGAGGAAAAGGAAGGGAAGCAGGAGAGAGAAGGAGATAACGGAGGAGGAGGAGGGTAAGGTGAAACAGGATGAGAAGGAAAAGGAGAAAACGGAAGGTAGAAATGGGGAAAGAGGAGGAGGAGAAGAAAAACACCAGGGAGGGAAGAGAGGAGGAGGAAGAGGAGGAGGGAAGCTTCCGAGCTGGGCACCCAGTGCTCCAGAGCATCCTCTCGCTCCAGAAGGTCCCCAGGTCCCACAGCCAGGCAGCCACAGAGCGCCCACTCCCTCCTGCCCTCCCCACCCTGAACCTCCCACCTCCCCACAGCCCTGGTACCTGCTGTGGACGTTGCCTTGTTCATCCCCCATGGTCACCGTCACGGTCCGGACCTTGCTGAGGTCGAAGCTCATGTCGTGCTGATGGTAATCAGGGGTGACCCAGCCCACCCACACGCAGCTGGGCTCCTGACCGGCAAAGACCCTCACGGAGTAATAGTACTGGGGACACAAGGAGGGGAACCCGTGGTCAGTCTGGAAGCCTGAGGACTCGGGCTCCCTGGGATTCTAAATTGGTCTCCCTGGACTGTCGAGTCCTCTGGGAGTTTAAGAGGAAGTTGTTGGATCTGAGACCCCCCCACTCCCTGGTTATGTCTGTTTTGGTGTCAACTTGTAAATTTCTAGATTCAGGGAGTTATATCAGTGTGCCTTATGCCTCTCCTGTACCCCCCGCCATTTGTGATCTATTAGCTATGTGGATTTAGCATCATATTTGGGTTCCTCACAGGTTACAGCAGAATGATAAATAAATAATTGCAGGTCAGGTGTGGTGGCTCACATCTGTAATCCCAGCACTTTGGGAGGCCGAGGCGGGCAGATCACCTGAGGTCAGGAGTTCGAGATCAGCCTGGCCAACATGGTGAAACCCCATCTCTACTAAAAGTACAAAAATTAGCCAGGTGTGG